TTTTTTTTTTTCACTTACCGCATAATGTACGTTGCTCTTTCTCTTACTGTTTATCCAAAATTAATTTGTTTGCTTACTTATCTGTAATACATATTGGAAAAGAAAAGTATACATCTATTAATTGATAGTTCACTTGGTTATATTGATTTTTTAAACATTTATTTTCTAGGAATTCGGTGGGTACAGAAGCTTACGACGCATATGTCAAGCAATTTGAGGCTTGGGAACGAGATGTTGATCAGCGTCGTGAAATGATACGTGCTAAGGCAGAAATTGATGCCCAAGAAGCACAGGTAACATTTTACATCAATATTATGAATAAAATTTTTATGGAATTAGTACATTCAATTGCTTGTGACAAAATTTTACTTCCATTGTTCAGGGTTAGAATAATAGTAAATAACGTACATTGGATAACCTATTATGTAAACGTCTTTTAGGCTGCTGCACAAGCTAAAGCGAAAGCAGCAGCGGAAGCAAAACTGAAGAAAGAGCAAGAAGCCGAAGAGGAACGAAAGAAGAAACAACTAGAAGGTAACTTCATGTCCATATCAAGCAAGCAAATCTAATGAGATTTTATTGCACAAATGATTATGCTTCTCAAGTTTTCGCTAAGAAAAAAAATAAGAGTCATTTTCATATGTTCCTGTCAAAATTCTTCGGCTGCAATAGAATTCAGCACTCTTGTTTTCTACTTATTTCACTATTGTTAATGCATGAATAGATAATGAATGTTTAGGGAATGGCTGAAACTACGGTGTTTCAATCTATGTTTAATTCAAATTAATAATTTTTCAAATATTATTGAACTCAATGTTTTTTCTTGAACAGCTGAAACAGCAGCACAAGCGGTGGCTTATGCACAGCATCAACAATCATATCTTGCACATCATCAGTCAGCGATGCAACTCGAACAACAAATGCATCAGGCAGCTGTAGCAGGTTCGCAAGAAGCTGTATCTGGTCATGCAACAGAATCGAAAAGTGTTGATGGTACTAATAATTTCTTTATTCCTATTAAACTTTCTCTATGTGAATTCTTGTCTGTTCGCTTTAATTTACGTGCTTAGAACTTATTGTTTGTCATTCACGTTCCGATTTTCAGTGATTTCAGTAGATGCGCCTAGATCAGGATGAAGGGAAATAATTTACCGTAACTTTACTAGTTAGAAAAAAACTGGAAATCATTAAAATATGTAATGTTTTCCCGATTAGTTTTAACTGAATTTTAGTTCGAAAAACTTTTCAAACGAAAAATAATGTATATCTTTTAACACATTAAAGTTGCAGAAGCCTTAGATCCGACACACGTTGCCGAGATGATGAAACATATGGCACAAGTCGCACAAATGGTTATGAGTGACCAGCGAGATAGTAACTGATAAATTTATTCAATCTTTTATAATATTTATAATATATTTGTGTTATTGCTTAAATCTTAAAATACTTCAGTTAATAAATTGAATATTTTCAAAAAATTTAAGTTAAATATGAAGAAAATATATTGTACTTCCTATAATTATATAATTTTCAATTTTTTTTAGGTGCATATCAACAGGCGGCTCAACAGGCAACTGTAGCACAACAAGTAGTGCCACCTCCGCAATTATGGGGTAGTGATCGAATAACTTATGATACTAATGATCCCTTGTATAAAAGATGGGGATTACGAGCAGCACCGCCTTACCACAAGCCAACTTACAAACCGCCTCCATCGGATTATCAAGTAACGCCGTGCTGGTTGTATGTAGAACAGATGAAAGAAGAGAAACTTATGCTTGCACCGCAAGTCAATATGCCGCCTCCACCATTTGTACCTAACTTTGTCTCGTCGTAAATTTAAAATCAAAATTTTGCCCAGGACATATATTATAAAATTTTGCTAAAGCTTAGTAGATCGAATAGGTAATATAATCTTAAGTGTTTTCTTATTTAAAAATGCAGAGTGATTTTTTTTTTCATCTTTTATACTTCTTTTGAATTTTTTGTTACTTTTCGTTACCTTGCTGTTACTAGCTTATATTCACTAACTAGCTGCACTACCGCCAAAAAGCGTACGATATCAATTTCTCAACCATATATTCTAATCCATTTATTAGGCTGCCTGTTTTACCAGACCTTGTTTGATATCAAAACCCGTTCTTTGCTTGTAAATGGTTGGTCAGAAATCATTTTCGGTACGAATTATTGTTCTTGCTGCAATACTGTAGATTTTTCATAAATTTTATTTTTGAAATGTTGAAGCTTCTGTTTAACAGTGCTGTCCAGGATTTGTTAAGCATGGTCCATGGTTATAATTTGATTAATTTGATACAGTGAAGTCTGTATTTAATAAATTCTATACAGATATGATTTTTTCAAATTAAAAAAATATTCTCTTCAAAAGCAATGGGGACATTTGTCCTGAGGTATTTTCATCATGATTGATGGTGGACATCTATATTTGTTTAGCTTCATATGAATAATAACAAAATAAGTCTATTACACTTTCCAGTGAATAATATGGATAGCGTTATAATGTATTAATGGAGCAAAGTGATGTTCTCAGTACCCTTTTTTTCAAATTGTTAAGGAGATTATGCACTAATTTTATTACTAGAATTGGATTTCACTTTTTTGCAGTTATAATAACTTCTCGTTATTTCTACTTTCACATCTTTTTCTTGTCCATATTATCTTAAATAGGATATATTGCAGCATGGTAGCCGGAATTGGTGTAAAAACAGTTCACTATGGTACGGTGATCACTCCGTGTGTTGTCAAAGATATCCTTGGAGCTTTGCCGAAGAAAGAATTCCTTCTTTCCCCTCCATCATTATTGGATACACAGCAGAAATTATCATATCTTGTGAGTTTACTTTTTCCATTTAAAAAGCTGTGAGAGTGACCTTGGAACTACTTGATTTATGGATTTCTGTCATTTTTATGGATGACTTGATTTGCAACTCATAACATTTTTTTTTGAATATCTAAATAAAATTTTTGAATATCTAAGTAAAAAGTATAGAACTTTTTGTTTAGCTTTTGAATCAATCAAAAGAGTTTATATTTTGTAATGGCTTCAATCAAATTATTTTTTACTTTTCAGAAAACCAATCAATTTCTAGAAAATATAACAAATGCTGAGAGTGGTCGTTACCCATCAGTCTCGACTGTTCTAGGTTGTACAACTTCACAACATTTACTTTATCGATGGCAATTGAAAATGATCAAACAATTGGGTGGTTTAGGTGCTTTCAAGAAATATATGAGAGGTTAGCTCCTCAAATGATGGTATCTTATGGCTTTTGCTGTGAAGATTAGTGAAATCAGCATTATATGTGACCCATTTTTGGAAGAATATTAATGCGAATTAACTCCTATTTCGATATTAAGTTTTCCGGAAAAGACCTGTGAGCATATCACTTGATTCTGGATTTTTCATACAGTCATTGTCTTCTCGTAAAGAAGCATATATTGTGCGAGCATTAGAAATTATTTGAGTTTTTGCTGTACGCTTTTTAAAATTCAAATAGTACAAGTCTAACGAAATTAATTTCAATTTTAGAATGGTTGCAAAATATTCAGTAATCATATTTTCAAGATAAGTATTATATTTCATCTTTACCACTTAGTTTCATTAGCTGTTTTCAGTTCGCATGCAATCGGGTACACAATATCACTGTTGCATACAAAGAATTTTGGAAGAACTTCGGAAGCGCGGCAGTTTTCCCGATGATGTTGCTGAACAAATGACTTCCGAAGTAGAATTTTGCAAATGATTCTTTGTCGCTAATGCCAATTTTTATTCTTTTGTATTCAGGTCGACAGCTCTGTAGCGAGCTATTTAAACAGTGTACTTCCTATTTTACGCACACTTGATAGCAAAAACATGGAATTGGAAAGACCTACAAGCCATCACGGCCTTTGCTACAGCGGACGGTTCGATGCTGCTGTCACCTACAAGTTTGTTTCAACCTATTCTTAATTAAATAGATTTTGCATTTAATTGCTGTTGTTAAGCTGTATGGTACAGCCATTCTGGAAACATCGTATCATGTAAATATTTAATTTCTCCGTTGATTAAATTTTGAAATTTTGAAGAATGAGAAAAAATGATTATGGTTTTCAGTTCCATCTACGAAAAAGCCTTGTAAGTTTCTCAGTTAATTCGATACAAAAATTTATGCAAATGTTCAATAATTTTTTTATTAGATTTCATTTTTTTCCTAAAAGTTTTTCCAAAAAAGAAAAATTTTTTTAAGTCGTAATATTTAGATACTAAGATGTTATTGTGTTTAGAGATGCTCTCTTTTTGATGGATTGGAAAACAGCTTCGTCAGGTTCAACGAAAGATGCATGCACGGAGATTGAAAAAATGTACAACGATCCGGTGCAAGTAGCTGCATATGTTGGTGCTGTTAATTCAGATCCAAATTTCAAAATGTTGCCAGAGGTTAATATTACTTTTTACTACTTTGTTAAATAGTTTTGTAAAGACTAGGAAAGTGTTCTGAATGGATAGAAATTTCTGTTTTTTAATGATAATTCCTTGTTCTTCGCTAATCCTTCGCTGATGTCAGAAAAACTTTCTGTTGCCTTGAGATGAATAATATTATCATGTGAAAAGTAAAATGGAGTTTATTATTTCAGAAAATAAATGAAATATTTGAATAGGTGTTAAATGAAAAATTAAAATCTCACACTCATACTGGCTGAACAAGGCGTGGAGGAAAGAGTTATCAGATTTTTGCTAACAGATTTAGGTAGTTATTGGAAATATTTTAATAGCAGTCCAATCCAGTTTTTTTTTCTTTTTTTTTCCTTTTTCAGCTTTTTCTATCCTTTCTTTGACTTTTTTATAGCAGTATAGTATTTATTATAATGATGCATAGACGTAGGTGTTGTGGAATTTTAACACTATATGTTATTGATATAGTTAGTACTATTCATTACCAAAGAGTTTACAAGATTTGTTTAAATATAATTTATAAAAAAGAACTGTGACGAAGTTTGGGTTGCTAGCAGACGCTTTCGCATTGGAAGAAATTAACTCTTCTTCTTATGATGTTTAGAGTAAACTTCGGAATTCTAAAATTGTTATATTTATCGGCCTGCTTCTTAAAATTGGCATTCTATTTTTAGATTCGTTGCGGTGCAATTGTTGTAGCGAAGGAAAATGGTTCGATAGCGGATGTTGTGGAAATGAATTCATGCCATTTAGAAGTATGTTTATAATGCCTTTTGTGCGTTATAAATAAAACACGTCTTAATATTCGAAATTCCACGATTGCTCTTTATTAATTAATTGGTGATAATGATAGTAACATTATCAAGATGGTCAGACATACATGGTACACTAAAAGCTATTATATTTTGTTGTAGGATTTATTGTAGTTATTAATAGTAATTTGATTGGATGTTTTTGTTCATGAGAAGTTACTAATAGTAATTTGATTAAATCTTTTGATAATAGTTTTAATAATATATTCTAGTTCACATTCTAGACTGAAAAACCTTTTTCTTACTCAAACCATTAGTTAAGAAAGTAGGGGAGGCTTCATCGCTATTAAAAGTGAATTTGAATCAGCTGAACATTTCAGCAATAAAATGACATTTTCACTTACTGATCCTTGTGCAGTATATTAATCTTGCAAAGTTGAAGTTGTAGATGCTACATTTTGTAAGAGCTGTCGGATTTCAAGTGTAGACAGTTAGATGATTTATCTATTTTAAAATAGTATTATACTAGAACTCTTATATTTCAGATTTATTGGAATAAATGGTTAGATTGTGTTTGGCAATTCTGGACGAAAATGGAAACACTTTCTGCTGTAAATAATGTAATTTCATTTGTATGGGACAGTGAAAAAAAGTGTTGAGTGATTTCATTGTTTGTTAGGCACAGAATAAATTTTCATCGTTAGCTTAATGAACAGTTTGCAAAAAACATCGAAGAAGATTCAAGATATTCAATATATATGGTTGTAACCATAAAAACTGTTTAAGAGACAATATTTGAACTTATTAAAATAGTATTAGCTTTGCACTGAAATCTTGCATGCTATTCGGGAGATGCATGGAACGTGTACATTCTTTCTTTTTTCGAAGTTATGAAATA